AGTCTGAGTGAAAAAGTTGACTCAAAATATTATATTAGGATCCAATGAGAGTTTTCCCCCTGAAAATTATTAAATAATGGAGGAAATTGGCAAATCTTACCCTTGAGGATGGTACTACTCTCTGTGACACTCCCTTTTAATTTTAATGAACTCTTAAAAAAATTTATTTGTTCTATTGAGATATGATTAACACATCACATATCACATGTAAGTTTAAGGTGTACAATGTGTTGATTTGATACAATTATATATTGCAATATGATTATCACTGTGGAATTAGCTAACACCTCTATCATAACACATGGTTATTTTTTGTGTGTGATGGGAACAATTAAGATCTAGCCTCTTAGCAACTTTGATGTTTATAATACAATATTGCTGCCTATAATCACTATGCTGCACATTAGAACTCCAGGAGTTAAGTTACTGGTTGCAAGCTTATATCCTGAAACAATTATCTCCTCAATTCCCCCACTCCTGGTAACCACCATTTTACTGTGTTTTTATGAGTCCAGCTTTTTTAGATTCCACACTTAAGTGAGATCATACAGTACTTGTTTGACAGTTTAGTGAAGTTTTATCCTCTTTCTACTTCTGGTCAGTTCCACTCCTCAGGACCCCGAAATAATTCATCTTTTGTTTTCTCTTCAGAGTCCAATTAGGGTTTATTTGATTAATACAGATGAGTTTAAACACTAGGTCTTCTGAAATAAATATGCTTTTGTTTTCTAACAAAATTGTATCTTAAAAATGGACTTTTAGGACAATTTGATAGATTCTTTGTAGGGCATCAGATCTTTGCACAGCTACCAAATTTCTGCTTGATGTTGGCTTTCTGCTCTATAACTGTGGGTAGACATATTTACATTAAGATGTATTTAAATAGAACCTGATATTTTCCCAAAGTGCCACATTGAATATTCTTCATTAATTTAAAATATATTTTTACCAAAGGCAGATGAATTGGGGGAAAGAGGCAAAATGAAATTTAAAAATTGAATCTTAGGGGCACCTGGGTGGCTCAGTTGGTTAAGCGTCCAACTTCAGCTCAGGTCATGATCTTGTGGTTTGTGAGTTCAGGCCCCATGTAGGGCTCTATGCTGACAGCTCAGAGCCTGGAACCTGCTTCAGATTCTATGTCTCCCTCTCTTGCTGCCCCTCCCCCACTCACACTCTGTCTCTCTCAAAACTAAACATACATTAAAAAATAAATAAGGGGCGCCTGGGTGGCGCAGTCGGTTAAGCGTCCGACTTCAGCCAGGTCACGATCTCGCGGTCCGTGAGTTCGAGCCCCGCATCAGGCTCTGGGCTGATGGCTCAGAGCCTGGAGCCTGTTTCTGATTCTGTGTCTCCCTCTCTCTCTGCCCCTCCCCCGTTCATGCTCTGTCTCTCTCTGTCCCAAAAATAAGTAAATGTTGAAAAAAAAAAATTTAAATAAAAAAAAAAATAATAAATAAATAAATAAAAATTGAATCTTATCAGCATGATAGATCCCAGTATGTATGCAGATTTACTATAAACATTTCAAAGTAGTGAAGGAAATGATGTATTATTTAATAAATAATGCAAAATAATTCATTAACTATTTGGGAAAAACAAGCTATACGGTGACTTTTTTTTTTTTAATTTTAGAAGGAGGGCGAGAACATGCAAGCAGAGGAGACAGGCAGAGAGAGAGAGAAAGAGAGAGAGAGAGAGAAAATCCCAAGCAGGGACACAGGGCTCGATTGATCTCATGACCCTGGGATCATGACCTGAGCTGAAATCAAGAGTCAGAGGCTCAACCAACTGAGTCACCCAGGTGCCCCTACCATGACCTTATTTCTTAAAGTAAATTTGTGTGGAGCAAAGCTCCAAATGTGAAAATCCAACCATAAAAGTACTGGAGAAATAAATATAGGTGGGTATTTTTATAAGCTTGGGCTGAAAAAGACCTTTATAAATATCTCGCCAAACCTATAAGCCATGATGGAAAATAAACTGAGAAGTTTTAATGTAAAACTAAATAAAAAGAAGTTGAAAGGCAAATAGCAAACTGGGGAAAATATATGCAATGTGTATGACATATAAGATAGTATCTTGAATGTACAATGAACCTATAGATATTAATTTAAAACTCTATAGCTCAATAGAAAAGGTGAGCAGAGGTCATGAAACAGGCAATTGACAAAAGAAGTCAAACTACTGGGGTGCCTGGGTGGCTCAGTCAGCTGGGTATTCAACTCTAGATTTCAGCTCAGGTCATGATCTCATGGCTTGTGGGATCGAGCCCTGTGTCAGGCTCTGTGCTGACAGCACAGAACCTGCATAGGATTCTTTCCACCTTCCCCTTTCTGCCCCTCCCTTGCTTTCACAGTCTCTCTCTCAAAATAAATAAATGGACATTTAAAAAAATTTAAAAAAAAGAAGTCAAACTACCAAAAAATAAACATTTAAATAAAATTTAAAAAGGGGCACCTGGGTGGCTCAGTTGGTTAAGCATCCAACTCTTGGTTATGGCTTAGGTCATGATCTCACAGTTCATGGGCTCTGCACTGACAGTGGGGAGCCTGCCTGAGATTCTCTCTCTCTCTCTCTCTCTCTCTCTCTCGCACACACTCTCTCTCTGCACCCCCCCCTTGTGTGTGTGCTGTGTCTCTCTGAAAATAAATAAATAAACCTAAAAAAAATAGAAGGAAAGAAGCCCTACTACCAAAAAACATAAGAAAACACTTTAATGTAGCTACTAGGTCATCAGGAAACAAAGATGATCCTTCCTGTATGGAAAGGGCAGAACATCACCAGAAGGCAGGCTGCTGAGGAAGTAGAAAAGCGGTGGCGCTCTTCCTGCCCCGTGGGTACAGGTGCAGATTGGTGAAACACTTCCGGGGCAGTTTGGCAGCACGTACGAATATTTAAAATGTGTACACCCTTTGACCCAGTAATCCCTCTTCTGAAATCTACCTGAAGGAGACACCACCAAAATGTGAAAATATGTGCGCATTAGTGATGAGGGAGCTTGGGGCAAGATGAGGGCAAAATACAGGCTGGCACACACATACCCACTCCCCCCACCCCCCAGGTGGAATGTGTGTGATATTCCTCAGACACTCCTGGCTACCGAAGAACAAAGAAAACTGCCATGGTGATGTGGGAAACTAAGACAAATGAAAAACTAAATTCCCTTACTGCCTACAGCCCAGTGACAAGTCCTTCAAACCAGCAGAGTGACCTCCCTCTATAGGGGCTCAGCTGCCTGGATGATGACAGTTTGCTAGTGGCAAAAGAGAACCTTGGCTTAACACTGTCACAACCTTGAGGATCCTGTAAGTCTACTTCCTTTATCTCAACTGCCCCAAGATATATGTTGTCAATCATCCTCCAAGTTTATGCCCCCCCGCAATATACATCTGAAGAGTCTCATGACTGGGGTTTTATTAAATGGTAATAAGTGGTGTTTCCCTAGGAACAGCTAGCCACTCAAAGTCCTAAAAACCTTGCTTCCAAAATACCTTAGAGACTTACTCTATCCTTGACTCTGCCCCAACCTGAGGGTATACAATGAGTTACCTGTCACAACCCCATGCAGCTATTCCTGCTCATGGGTCCTGTCCCCATGCTTTAATAAAATCACTAGTTTGGCACCAAAAACGTCTTCAAGAATTCTTTCTTGGCCGGCAACTCTGGACCTTACGAACCCCCCATCACCCCAAAACTTCATCACTAGGGTGTTCATTGCAGCTGCGCCAGGGTAAAAATTACTAGTAGATACTAATGTTCAGACTAAGTAACCAACACAATTTATGATAAAGTTCTGTCTTTACTGACATGAAATGATGTCCATGACATAAGGCTGAGGGAAATAAGTTTACCTACAGTTTTCAGAACCCCACATGTAATATATGCCAGTTACATATAATTTAGACATTTAAGGTATACATGGAGAGATGTCTGGAAGGATGTTCATCAAAATGTTGAGTAGTTTGCAGTAGATAGAAGGTTTCAAGGCAATTTAAAAATAAACTTTCTTACTTATTCGTATTTTTCTATATGTTGGAATTTTTTAAAGTTTATGCATCATGTTACAAAGACATTAAAACTACTCCCAAAGAAAAGAAACATTAAAAATTAACCTCTGGGGCACCTGGGTGGCTCAAATGGTTAACATCCAACTCTCGGTTTCAGCTCAAGTCATGATCTCACAGCCTTATGGGTTTGAGCCCCACATCAGGCTCTACGATGGCAGCTCGGAGACTGCTTGAGATTCTCTCTCTCACTCTCTGCCCATCCTCACTTGTGCTGTCTCTGTCTCTCTCAAGATAAATAAACTTAAAAAAAAAAAACTAACCTCAGAGCTTATCCTTTATAGTTTTATAAGTTTTTAAAAAATGTTTATTTATTTTTGAGAGAGAGTGCACACAGGGGAGGAGCAGACAGAGAGGTAGAGGATCCGAACAAAGAGGTCTCTGAACTGACAGCAGAGAGCCCAATATGGGGTTTCAACTCACAAACCATAAGATCATGACCTAAGCTGAAGTCGGTTGCTGAGCCATATAGTTTTATTTTTTAACTAAGTAAAGACTAGTGCTCACTATGGAGGATAATCTCTAGATTACCGATGATGCTTGTTAAACAGAGTCCCAAGGCCCCTTCCCCACCACTACCCTCTCCTAGCTAAACACAAGCAATCAACATCTCTGGGAGTCGGACCTCTACATGGTTCCCAAGCATTCCTGATGAAAGGTATGTATACTTAAGTCAGAAAACCACTGCTCAGGAAAAGAAAAAAAGGAGGATTACCAAGTTCATCTGAGTTCCTCATATTTATGTTTACATATATTCTCCCCTTCTCTTTGCCTCACCTGCTTTCCCACAATCTACAGGAGCTGAAATTGAGATGAGCTAAGGGAATTGAATGTCAGGTGTTTTAAGGATTAAAATATTTAAGAAAACCCACGGAATGGCTGATATTCATAGCAATCACCAATGCTTTTGTCGTCTTCATTTCTGTCTCAACTTACCTGGTACTTGCGTTTTTGATGAAGCCAGTATTTATGAAATTAGGGCAGAGACATGTTGTTTTGATTCCAGTTCTTTCTAAGGCAGCCAGTTCTTCAGTCAAAGCTTTATGAAATCCGACAGCAGCAAATTTGCTTGAACTGGAAATAAACAGAGAGGCCAGAAGATAATTAGAGAAAGCTGTGGTATCTATTGAATTCAGATGTCTGTTTTCTTTAGTTAAGTGTGGTCCTTCGCCGAGCCTCATGGCCATCATGAGTCTCAGGGTCCAGCCCAGACCTACCAAATCAGAATGTGCATTATGGATCCTCAGGTAAATTTATAGGCATTAAAGTCTAAGAAGCATTGACCCAGAACACTTATTGGAGCGAGAACTGAGTGGGTTTAAAGGTCTTGCTAGGAAAACTGGTAAAGCGTTGGTTTTTGTTGTTGCTGTTTCCATAAGATTTAATGTCTCCATAGCCTGTTAATTATTTAATACATCCAGGGAATTCCTGGGTAAATTCTCCTGGACAAGTCCCATTTTCCCTTTCAGACTCTGCTTCACTTCCTCAAAGAGGCCTTTCCTGACCCCTAGTCTAAATTATTTCCATTATGTAGTAATCTTCAGTTTTACATGACAGCCTGTTTTGAATTTGTGATTAAATACTTGTTTGGGTGATTTTTTTTTTTTTTTAATGTCTGTCCCTCAAACTTGTACTATAAGCTCTGTGACTATTTTGGTTTCCAAGGAATCCCCAGGGCCTACCACAGTGCTTGGCTTATAATAGCTGCTCAAAAAATATTTGTCAAATAAATAAATCAAAATGCAAAGCAATTCTTACTGTCACAGCTCCTTCATTTGCCAAGAGAGGCAAATTAATAATATTTTAAGCAGACATTACTTTTCCAGTTAGGTTTTTTTTTTCTTTTTAAATCAGCTTTATTGAGAAATAAATTCATGTATCATATAATTCTCCCACTTGAAGTGTATAATTCAGTGGTTTTTGGAATATTACATTACTGATTTTTAAAAATTATGTGAAAATACGGGTGCTTGGGTGGTTTAGTCGGTTAAGTGACTGACTCCGGTTCAGGTTATCATCCCATGGTTCGTGGGTTCAAGCCCCACATCAGGCTCTGTGCTGACCGCTTAGAGCCTGGAGCCTGCTTCGGATTCTGTGTCTCCCTCTCTCTCAGCACCCGCCCCACCCCCCCACTCTCTATTTCTTTCTCTCAAAAAGTGAATAAACATTAAACAATTTTTTTTAATTGTGTGACAATATACATAACATAAAATTTGCCATTTTAACCATTTTAAAATGTGCAACTCAGTGCCATCAATTACTAGATTATTTTTCTCTAAGTCTATATTTATTAGCAATTACACAAAGTAGCTGTAAATTCTTGCCAATTAACCTGTGCTTTGGAAAATACAAAGCTATGCAAAGTTCTCTTTCAACTTGTTTCTTTTAAACCTTAGACATATACTGAAGGCTTAAAAGATAGATGGCTATATTTACTCATGAAAAATGTAAATCTTGGGGTGCCTGGGTGGCTCAGTCAGTTAAGCATCCAACTTTGGCTCAGGTCATGATCTCCCGGCCCGTGAGTTCGAGCCCCACGTCGGGCTCTGTGCTGCCAGCTCAGAGCCTGGAGCCTGCTTCGGATTCTGTGTCCCCCTCTCTCTCTGCCCCTCCCCCACTCATGCTCTGTCTCTCTCTGTCTCAGAAATAAATAAACATTAAAAAAAATTTAAAAAACAGAAAGAAAAATGTAAATCTTAACTTGAAAAACCACACAAAAATAATCGCACATAAAATTGATTACTACATGTCAGGCACTGTCCTCAGTTTTTCCGATGTATTAACTGCATTTGCTCCTCGCAACAACTCTGTGAAATAGGTATTACTATGATCCCCGTTTACCAAAAAGGAAGCTGAAGCACTGTGGGGGTTGTTGGTTTGCAATCTCCTCTGGAGCTCCTTGGGCAAGATCTGAAACTGCCCCCACCCCTCCCCTGCACACAGAGGGCGGGGAGAGAGCAAAGAAAGAGGCAGGCCACTCCAGATTGGCAAGTGGCAGATTTAACAAATAAGGGAACCTGGAGGTTTGTCTTGGGCAGCCGCAGGGTGAGGTCCTCACACCCACCTGCCAGAATCTTACAAGTTTATATACAGGCCTTTTGGGTTCAGTCATATATACATCCAGACAGTCACAGCACATTTCTATTTCTAGCCCAAAGGGTACCTTTGTGTGAGTCAGAAAAACCTGCTCCTCTTCTAAAGCTACTTTACTGCCATCTCCTGGAAGATTTTTAAGTTTAAGGGGACCCGAATATGCACAGTGCCCCCTAGAATTGTGTAGTGTGCAATCTGCGCACAAACTGTGTGTGTCGTTCCTGCTTTGACAACACTTGATGAGAACTTTTACTTCTGCTGAAAGCACTATCAATAGTTTCTCATACAGAACATGTTCTCTCTTGGTTTTCATAGCTAAACATTCAGTGGAGTAGAATCAAATTAGAATCAAGAGTTACAGTATTTACCATGGCAACGAGGAGGAAGCATGACAGGGCATTCACAGCCTTGTTGGATCCTCTGATTCTCTTGGGTTACCTCAATGCCTGGGGACTAAGAATCTGGCAGAGAGTAGAAGTTCGTGTAGTAGCTGAGTAGCAACACCTGCAGCTAGCTTTCATCAAGGAAAACAATGCCAAATGATGTGAGCCTTTGATGGCCAGGGGACAATCACCTAACCTAAACTGGGTTTGAAAGAGACAATACATGATCTGCATCACACATCTGTTCTGTAACTGCTTCAACAGCAATTTCATCTTAAAAAACAAACAAAACTCCCCCAAAACCCAAAAACTCAATCCAAGTCTATGTTCATAAAAAAATGTTTTTAAGTTTATTTATTCATTTCAAGGGAGATGGAGAGAGTAAGTGGGGAAGGGGAGGGAGGGAGGGAGAGAGAGAGAGAGAGAGAGAGAGAGAGAGAGAGAGAGAGAGAGAGAGAATCCCAAGCAGGCTTCCCATTACCAGTGCAGGGTCCAATGTAGGGTTTAAACTCATGAAATGTAAGATCTTGACCTAAGCCAAAAACAAAAGTCAAACATTCAACCAACCGAGCCACCCAGGCACCCCATTTTAGAAACTATTAGAAAACAAATACATGTTAAGAAAGGAAAGGAAAGGAAAGGAAAAGGGAGGGAAGGGAAGGAAAGGAAGACAGAAAATATAGATGAACAAAATAAAATTACTTGTCATTACCAAAGAATAACCACTCTCTAGGTGTGGTTCGAGTAAAATGGCTTGGTATATATCCTTGCAAACTTTTATTTATTTTTTTCACATAATTCCAGATTTAATGAGTGTCTATATACTTTTTTGTGCCATATTAGAAAATATAGTTACAGGCTTTTGGGGGTTATAGTACATGCCACAAGGTCACATTAGAAAATAAATTCCATCTTTAACGTCACTAAGATATGTAATACACAAATTACAATACTTAGAATGATTTCTGCCACTGCAGTAAAGTTCAAAGATAATTAGATAACTCTCATTTCAATGGCTTCTGGATAAAGCTACAATGAACTGTTCATGAGAGATCAAATAGTAAAAACAAAACAAAACAGATAAACAGAAGCACAGGAAGCTCATCTTGACTTTTCAAGGAAAATAAACATTCATGAATTACTTACTATACCCACAGTATACGGGACCCTCAGGTAAAAGATAACTGAATTGTTTCTGGACTATTTCCTTTTGGATTGGATGGGAAAGTCTTAGCTTATGCATACCATGTGACAGAGGAGTTTTGCAACAGTCTAGGGATGAGGCTGGGAACCACACACCCCTCTTGTTGCTGTTGTTACTTAACAGGTATTGAGGTCCAAGTGCAGTAGAGAATACATAATTAGGCATGGTTTCTGACCAGGATATTAACAACTTTTGTTAAAGGAAAATGTCTAGACACTAAAACAATTTATTCTCCTCATCTTTAGTAACCTTAAGGCATATCAAATAATGATTTGATTTGGTTTCCTATGGGAGATGAGTTTTGTGGAAAGATTGTAGAGTGCAACTTAAGAATCAGATGTCTTAGAATGACCTTGGTCTCCCCTGTCAAACGTCAGTCATTAAGGCTAAATTACTGCATTCTCCGGATAAAAGTTGATTCTATTTTAATTATAGAATATAAGTTTCTTCATTGGTTAACCTACCTAAAAAGTTCAAGCTGTTCCTTGGGCATTTTCAGTAGATATATCTGCCTTTGCCTTCACATATTGGGAAATACTAATATATATGAGTTAATTACTGTGGACCATCTTATCATATTTTTCTTTTTTTTTAATTTTATTTTTTTAAATTCACATCCAAATTAGTTAGCATATAGCACCAATGATTTCAGGAGTAGATTCCTTAATGCCCCTTACCCATTTAGCCCATCCCCCTCCCACAACCCCTCCAGTAATCCTCTGTTTGTTCACCATATTTAAGAGTCTCTTTTGTTTTGTCCCCCTCACTGTTTTTTTTTATTATTTTTGTGTTCCTTTATCTTATGTTCATCTGTTTTATCTCTTAAAGTCCTCATATGAGTGAAGTCATATGATATTTGTCTTTCTCTAATTTCGCTTAGCATCATACCTTCCAGTTCCATCCACGTAGTTACAAATGGCAAGATTTCATTCTTTTTGATTGCTGAGTAATACTCCATTGTGTATATATATATATATATATATACACCACTTCTTCTTTATCCATTCATCCATCGATGAACATTTGGGCTCTTTCCATACTTTGGCTACTGTTGATAGTGCTGCTATAAACATTGGGGTGCATATGTCCCTTGGATAAATACCTAGTAGTGCAATTGCTGGGTTGTAGGGTAGTTCTATTTTTAATTTTTTGAGGAACCTCCTTACTGTTTTCAAATGGCTGCACCAGCTTGCATTCCCACCTTGCAAACTTTTAAATGCAAGATATATATCTTTTATATATATGCATACATACGTATGTATACACGTGTAGATATTATATAAAAACAAGATACCTACCCATGCCTGTGTTTATATATTTATACGCATACAACTATATCTGTTGTTTCTAGAAATTGGCCAAGCACTGTTGGGGTGTGTGCAACTCGTAGGTTCCTGTTGGCTATGGTGGCCTCACTATATTGCAAAGAATTGTTTTTACAGTATACAGTGGAGCACACCATTACTGTTCCCTGCTTGTGATAGTTAAGTTCTTCAGTTATTACAATGGCAGGGATTTTTAAATGGATAACTATTATAGTTTTTTTTTTTTTTTACAACAATTCCACTATTTAGATGTTTACAACATTTAGAATCCTGGATTATACTTTCTCTTTATACTACTTTGTTTCCACAAAGTTACTTTATTGAAAATTATTAACTTTTATTCATGGTACAAAAAGATTACTCTTGTTGTATAATTTCTTGCTCCTACAAGGGATGAGAACTGCTTTAAGAGCTGCCTTCTAATTGGACAATTTCCCTGCAGCCACCTCTAGAATGGTCAGCCTGGAGGGGATTAATGATTGATAAAGCTATTGTACAAGAGACTGTGCAACTGACTATTTCGGCAACTTCAAGTTTATCATCATTAACAGTAGTTTTCATTAGGGTAAGAAATCACATACAAGCATAGGAACAAATTAAGGAACCACATCCTGACTTACCAATATGCCAGTAAGAAGGGGACCCCAGTATGCCCAGCTGCTGAAGCCACAGTGACAATATGGCCATGATTATTCTTCATCATCATTGGAAGAAATGCTTTTGTAGTCTAGAAATAGTGTTGATTAAGAGACAATGGTATATTGTTATTTCTGATTTTGTAGACCTATTGGGAAGATTTCCAGACAAAGCTATACTCTATTAACATTTTCCTAGTATAAAAGAAAAAAAAATTTAGATTAACTGCCAAATGTGGCCACATGAGGCAAATGGATAGGATGCCTGGATTAGAAAAACTAATTAAGCAAGGCAATGGATACTGAAAACTTTAAGAATCCATTTCACTTAAATTGTGAACTTCTAATATGCCCTGGTCCTCTCTTTACCTTTTGTCACTGATACTTTCTATCATTTCATATATTGAATAGATATAATAATCTACAGTTATCAAAAGAATTTATATGCAATGTGAAATTGTTAGCAAATAGTTTGGTTATGTCATTTACCAAAATACTGAAGTGAACAGCAATCTTCTAGTAGTCACCGAATGCAATAAATATTTACTGAGCACCTATTATGTGATGAGGATTCAAAAACAATTAAGGCAATGCCCTACATTCTAACAGAGGCAGAAAGACAGGCAAACTTGTAAGTTATAAAAATACAAAGACATAGGTCAATAACTTGGAAATACTGACATAAGATAATACTGCATTTTTACCAACTCCAACATTCTTTTGAGATTATGCTTCCCAAACTGACATCCAAGAAACCTTTGAGAGTCCCTTTAAGGAATGGGCTATTTGGGCAATTTTCAGCCTCTTCAGAAATTCTTTTTTTTTTTCTCTCTCTCTCTATATATAATCTATAGACCTTGAGTGGTGAGATTTATAATAAAGTTTGCAGCTTTGGGGCCAGAAAATACTCAAGGCCTGAGTCTCCTGAGAATCTGAAAAGCAAACTGGGCTCACTTTTAACAGAACCACAGAAGAGGACTTGGATTATCTCTAATTCCTTCTTTCATAAATAAGATCACATAGAGATGTGAGAATCTAGTTTATTTTTGTTTTTAATTTTTTTTAAGAATCCAGTTCAAAATTAAAACATATATAACAGCTGAAGTTTATTATTAATTAATTATTATTATTAATATTTTTAAGGGGCGGGGAGGGAAAATGGTTGATGAGATTTGACCACAGCATGAAAATTGACTGTTTGGGTGCACCTGTGTGACTCAGTCGGTTGAGCTTCCGACTTTGGCTCAGGTCATATCTCATGGTTCGAGCCCCACGACAGGCTCTGGGCTGACAGCTTGGAGCCTGGAGCCTGCTTTGGAAACTGTGTCTCCCTCTCTCTGCCCTTCCCCCACTCATGCTCAGTCTCTCTCTCTCTCTCTCTCTCTCAAAAATAAATAAACATTAAAAAAAAAAAGGGAAGAAAGAAAATTGACTTCTTTGGGGGGCACCTGGGTGGCTCAGTTGGTTGAGCACCCGACTTTGGCTCAGGTCATGATCTCGCCGTTCATGGGTTCGAGCCCCATGTCAGGCTCTGTGCTAATAGCTGGGAGCCTGGGGCCTGGAGCCCGCTTCAGATTCTGTGTCTCCCTCTCTCTCTGTCCCTCCCCCCTTCTCTCTCAAAAATGAATAAACACTAAAAAATTTTTTAAAAATAAAAGAAAATTGACTTGTTTTTTTTAAAGTTTCTTTATTTTTTTAGTAATCTCTACATCCAACATGGAGCTCGAACTCATGACTCTGAGATCAAGAGTTGCATGGTCTTCTGATGGCACCAGCCAGGCACCCTCAAAAATGACCTCTTTGTATGATGTTATCCTTAGTGCCTGGAGAAAACTTCAGTATTGATTTGACACATCTTTATGTCTACTGAAAGCTCCACCTTAAACATAGTCTTTGGGTTTTACAAAAGGGAATGTTCTTGTAAAAGAAGTCATACCTACCCAGAAATGTGCAAGTATATTAACTTCAAAAGTCTTTTCAATCTGAGGGTCTTGTGTAGCAAACAAATCCGATGTGTAGACTACACCAGCATTATTTACTAAAATACTAACATCTCCAATTTCTGCTTTCACCTTTAAAAATAAGACAAATATCTGCATCATTAAGAGTTACAAACGAAGGTTTGCATGCAAGGATCATTAAAGAACTATGTGTTTTTTACATCAGATGTGAAAAAAAGAGTAGTTTTGTAATCTATGTGCCAAAATGGAAAAAAGAACTTTTTAATCTTAGCTACTTAATTTCAAAACAGCTAGACCTGGAAGTCTGGCAGGTAGAAATTTTCTTTTGCAATTTAGTCTCTTGACTTTGCTCTATTTATTATACCCGAGAGGCATCTGGCAAATAAAAACAAAACCGGTGACAAAAACCTAGCATTTATTTTTTAAATACTACTTCAAAGGGTAAGCAAAAAAAAATTAATTGGCAAATGCAGGGACTATATAAGAAACTATGTAAAACTGATTATACCATTAAGCTAGTCACACCTTCTCTTGCTTTATTTTTGTGGTCTGTCACTCCATTCTATTGTTCACCAACTATCTTCCCCTGGTGGCAGCTGGCCTATTTTACGGTTCTTTGAGTAACTAAGCTTCTTGGTAGTTGGACCCTAGCGTTACAATGCATTCTGTTATACATTGTGTTCTAAATAAAAGCTAACTTCTGTTAGGAGTTACCATTATTAGATAGTGTTGCAGTGTGCTGGGGACTGAGGAGGACGTGACAAATAGCCTATTAAAGACTTTTATTGTGCTATGCATTTTGCATGATTTCATTATTTATCTCATTTAATTCTCACAATAATTCTATGAGCCTGCAACTCCTGGTACACTTACTTTAGAGAGGAGGAACATGAAACACTGAATGCCTGTTTCTTGCCCTAGATCACATGGCTACTAAAGGTCACATGGAGCTGAGACTCTCCCAGATCTTCTGACCTCAGAGCCCAAGACAAGCCTCAAACCTCCAGGAGGTGGAATACCCATCAGCAACCCAGCAGGACATGATGTGCCAACTGCTGAAGTCTTGTCAGACAGAAATGAATTTCATCAGGTTGTATTTAAATTATTAAAGTGTCAAGCTAAGGTATTTGGCCTTTGATCAACACTATTGGTACGTATACCCACATCTCTAGCACAAAATGAAAACTGTTGTTCAGAATAATGCCCCTAAGATATTGAAAAAAACAGGACATGTATGTGGTTGAAATGATGGAGCTGCTATACCGCCTTCAAAGTAACAGGACTTTGATTCTTTTACACTGTCAAAGCATTTACCCAGACACACTTGTCCCTTCCTTCATACTTGAGTTCCCCATCTGCATCTATTGTCTCCCCACAGTGTGAATGTCTGGTTTGCACATTTCTCAATAATGGCTCAATAATGGAAGCAAGCCATGGGGAGTCTGGGTGGCTGTAGGTTAAGCATCTGACTTCAGCTCAGGGCATGATCTCACACTTCGTGGGTTTGAGCCCTGTGTTGGGCTCTACGTCCACAGCTCAGAGCCTGCTTCAGATTCTGTCTCCCTCTCTCTCTGCCCCTCCCCCGCTTATGCGCATGCTCTTTCTCTCTCTTTCTCTCTAAGATGAATAAACTTAAAATTTTTAAAAAATAAAAAAGAAAGAAAGTCATGAGTTTAAACGGTCAGGTGACATAAAAATGTTCTGATACTAAAATAACCACATCAAAACAACTTCAGAATATCTGATAATCACATGCCATTGTGTATATTCTGTTTAAGCATATAGTTTATCCTTGAGCAATTTCAGTAAAAAAAAACAGCATGGTTAAAACACATGGAATAGGTTCAAATAATGAAATTATCTTTTACAGAACAGCTTATTCCAAGATGAGTCTAAAAGTGATTACTGTGTGCCAGGCACTGATATAAAAACTTTACGTCATTAATTCACTTAATTCTCCTAACAACCCTGAGGTAGGTGCTGCTGTGATCCCCATTTTCTAATTGAGAAAACGTAGGCACAGAGGGGTTAAGAAACTTGCAGTGATACACCTAGTATTAACCGGAAGCATGTAGGTCTCTATGAAGGAAAACCATTGTTAATTTTAAGTAAAACAGTTATTGTTAAGTGCAGACGTTTCTTACCTACAGGCCCTGCTCTTACTGTACCCCCTTCCAGGAAAGTTATTTCCCACCACTAGCCGGGGTAATTTTCACTTATTCTTTTGTCTGAGCTCAGGCCTCACCAGTAATAGAGGCATCAGTTTGAAATAAAAGATTACAATTCAAGAATAGAAGTTCAAAATGTCCTCAAACTAAAATTCCCTAAACAAAGAGGTTCTCAAAGCTGCTCGAATCAGAATCTTTATACTGTGCTGAAATCAGATTATCTGGGGGTGAGGTCCAGGAATGTGTATTTTAAGGAATTTGACCAGGTAATTCTACTGATTCTTCTTACTATCGTAGTATTTAGTTAACAAGTATATGTACGAATGTGTTCAGAGTGAAACTCCATGATATATATACATAGCATATCTCAGTTATATACAGAAAAAGCAAATAATGCTTTATAGAAATCTATCTATCTATGATCAAAGCCTGATAAGCAATTAAATTTATCCTAACTCCCTGACTCAGTTCTTTGGGTGTCAGAAGACCCTGCCAGTGTTTCGCAGTGTCATCCAAGAATTTACCTGTAGCAGAATTAGATGGGTGAGGTGTGGGTGTGTAAGGTATTATACATGCAGCTTCCTGCATCCAGCCCTTGATTTACTGAAAGAAACCTTTGGGGTATCTATTTTTTAAAAAGCTCTCTGGAAGATTCCAGAACACACCAAAGTCTGGGAACCTCAGTTCTAGATTCTAGTTCTGGGTCTGCCACGAGCTGGCTGCCCAACCTTGGGCAAGTCACAAAACTTCTGCTACTTTGTCTGCATCATGACGAGGTCACCTCCAGAATCCCTCCTAGCTCTGACATGATACAATCCTAACCAAATGTAAAATTTCACCTTCTTTGCAGAGCTGTAAATATCTTCTCGATTACTGCAGTCTACCACAAAGGCATGAGCCTTCGCACCCAGTCTCCTGCATTCAGCAGCTGTGTCCTCAATTCCATGCTAGGAAAGGCAACAACAAAAAAAAGAGAATAAAATAAATAACATGAACCTATATCAACAACTGAAAATAATGAAGGATAGTCAGGTTGTTTGAACTAGCATTTGGCAATAATTTAACTGGATGCATTTTTGGCAGGGATGCAGGTACACTTTGCTCTCACTACTTTGACTAGCTCCTTTTATTCTGAACTGAACTTAAAGCAACCTTTTTTAAGGAACATAAAAATCTTGGACACCTGAGTGGCTCAGCTGGTTAAATGTCCAACTTCATCTTAGGTCATGATCTCGTGGTTTATGAGTTCAAGCCCTGCATCTGGCTCTGTGCTGACAGCTCAGAGCCTGTAGCCTGCTTAGGATTCTGTGTCTCCCTCTCTCTCTCTCTCTCTCTCTCTCTTTCTCTGTCTCTCTCTCTCTCTCTCTCTCTCTCTGTCCCTCCCCCTGCTTGCACTAGGTGTCTCTCTCAAAAATAAACAAAAAAAAAATCTTAAAATACTAGTTTTGTAGTCATGAATTTTACATACTTTGTGAATATATGCATGTATGTATTCCATTTCAAGATTTTAAAAAATAACATTAAGCTTTTTTTTTTTATGTCACTAAAAAACTATTCATGTACATTTCCGGCTGCAAAATAAATAGATAAAGGGTTAATTACAGTTCATTCATCCACTCATTCACTCATTCCTTTAACATTTTAATTTTTAATCACGGTGCTTGGAAGAACCTGGTGGACACAAATATGAAGGAGACAGAGAATAGACCTTAGCCAGCTCACAGTGTAGTAGAAAGAAACCTAAAATAAGACTTAGGTGGGACATATGAAATTGTTAGTGTCAGAATAAAGGACTGAATAATGGCAGTGTCATATGGTTCGCATTAATGCATTGTGGTAAGCATAATAACAGAACAATATACAGAGAGTTATGGGAACACAACAAAGGAGGGACATGCAATACAATTCTAGAAGAAGAGGTACCAGAGTTGGATCTTAAGGGTGAGTAGAACAGCCAGGTAAAGAGAAGGAAAAAGGCATGCCGGGCAGAGTGTAAACAAAGGGATGGATAGGAGAAAGGTCCAGTGGGAAAAAATATCAGCAGACTGGTGTTGCTGAGTCATAAAGCTCAAGGCCAGCAGGAGTCCAGATTAAAGGGCATTGTATGACATACTAAGTTTTATCCAAAAACTCAGTGGGGAGCCACTGATTAAATTATGGACTCAGATTTGTTATAATATAGTTAGTATTACATGTCATATAGTCAGTATTTTACTGATTACTCTTACTAAAGTATGGAAGACAGATTTTAGGGGTCAACACTGCAGGAAGAGAGAAAAATTAGTAGGCAGTTCCAATGATTCAGCCAAGAGATGATACAAGTTTAATTGTGGCACTACTAGAAAGAATGCAGAGAAGAGAATGAGCCTTAAAATATATCTTTAGGAGGTAAAATCAGCAGGACTTGGTGACTGGATGAGGAAGGTGGGAAGAACCAAAGCTGAAGTCCTTGCTTTTTAGTTTATGTAACTCGCAACAAGGTGTTGCAACAAGTCAGATGGAGGTCATGAGCAGATTTGAGAAACGGAATGATGAGCCCAATTTGGAGCACTGATTTTGTCACTTAAATTCAGGATCAGACCATAGAGTTGTTTTGTTTTTCCCTTTTTTTGTTTCCATTTTTGCTTGTTGGTTTGCCTTTACCAATTTTGTAGCTTCTTTTTATTTTGAAGAATGTCTCAAATAATACCTTGGATTGAGTTTTAGTCTGTGAACACTGCAAGCCAAGAAATTATTGTCAGCTAACCCACAAGTGGATGGACTTACTACATTTACCCACAGAAAGAATGGTAGAACAGAATACTAGTGTTGTGAATTTGCTAGTAACCTGCAATTACTCTTGCAGAAAACCCAAATCTGGAGAGCTATGGAAAGAATGTGCAGTTTGCTCACTGAACTTAATTAACTGTGGCAATAAAAGGAAATAGAGTATTTTCCCTTTTA